CTGAAAAAACACTTTAGATCAGATACTTGTGATTCCAAATCAGAAACTTTAAGTTAATGTTTGAAGTAAAGAACATTACATGTGTAAAAACAGTCATTTTAATAACTTAACTATGTTAAGCAAAGATAATAAATCATAGACTGATGTATTTGTAAAAATGCACGATAAAAATGAAAACATCTACATAAAATCTACAGTTTGTAATAATGATAATAATTATGTATATTTCAGTTATTCTCAATAAATGCAGTCATTGTGGCTCTATGGGTCAAACTACATTTTCACTCTCTGCACTCAACTTCTTGTCTCTGAGTCTGACCAAGAATACGCTAAATGAAACAAACTGAAACTGCCATTACAGTGAACTGTTCTGACTAAGTGGCTGCAGAGGTGGAGAGTGGAGGATCAGCGCTGGTCACAGAGTCACAATAGCAACAAGAATGGGAAACATAGCAGGTTGATGCAAGACAGTCAGAAAACTAGATAACATATCAAGGTATGAGAAAAGTATCACTCACTCTGTATGGTGATGGTTGATGGGTAACTGAATGGAGAATTCACATTTTGAAGCTGTACAGTGTAATAACAAATCACTTGAACCGCAGCAGGTGAATTCTGATGTGAAATCTTCAGCAGCTCAGTTCCTGTCAGCGTCTGTTTACATGACTTTGTTTCAAAAGCTTTTCTGGTCAGAGTGTAGAAATGACACCGAGACACAGAAACAGACGATGGAGCCTCACAGTTCAATGTGACCGAGTCTGTCTCAGTGATCACTGGTGGATGTATTATCAGTGTAGGTGGAGGAGCTGAAAAAACACTTTAGATCAGATGTTGTTTTTCCAAATGGCAATTTATGATTAAGTGTTTGAAGTAAAGAAAATGATAATGTGTAAAAAGAGTCATTTTAACAGTAAACTATGTTCAGTAGTAATACTAATTATAACAGTGCAGAAACAAAAGATAATAGATCAGAGACTGACCTTGTCCTTGAATCTCATAAAAGAAACCTGTTGAAATAAAACACATTAACCAGGTACATTCATATAATCATAACTCACATGCATAACGACGTTAACAAAATGGAGACAGATTAAAACTCACAATCAACTAATAATTAACTAACAATTAGTCTTCACACTCCAGTTGCTGATAAATGAGCAAACAGCACAGAGCAGCAACATCAGCAGTAAGAACACAACATAAAACCAACAACCATGAGAAACACAACATGAATGTGCATTTATTTGTAAAAATGTACTTTAAGAATGAAAACAACTATGAGAGGTTTAACTTACTCATGAGGACGACAAACAGCAGGAGTCCAGCCATGATGAAGCTCAACTCTGACACTGTCCACAACTCTCTGAAGAAGAAACTTGAATGTGCGACGGCACAGACGCTGATGTGAAAGTCGTTCTGCAGAAGCTGTTCACAGGAAAACCACAGCAGCCATCAGAACTGAATCACACGGACAGCAACCCACACTGTGCATCGTCTTTTAATATATCTGGCAGACACGTGTCAGATAGACTGAATGCACCACAGCGGAAGTTAACCTCTGAACAAATGTGACAGCGTTTACTTTATTCATGGTATCTTTTTCTTTGGTGTGTTTTTTTTTGTATAAATTCCGCAGCTCTGTTTCAGCTTCTTCCATATCAGTTGATACACAAATTTGACAGTCTGTAGGTTTTCTGTGTGTGTAAAAGTCTTAACATTTTCCACATTATTAGCACGTTTATATTCTGCAGTCAGAAACTGTGTATTTACTGAACAACTGTTGTCAAGTTACTTCTTATATCCAGATTATTCCTCAAGTTGTTTTACCTCTTTGGTCTTTGTGATGATTTTCCCTTTTCATTGTGTTGTTGTGGATTGAACATTGTTTTGTAGTAATTTTTTACTGGTTATCTGTGTGTTTTGCATTGTGTGCCTGTGAATTACTTCTCATATGAGATGAACTTTGGTACAAACATGTCTTTTCTTTTATGTGTTGTATGAATAAAGACGAAGAAGCCCCTGAGCCTTCAGGCTCTGTCCCCTCAGCAGAGGATGTGTTTACTGGGCTCCTTCCACTGTCCGACAATGTCACCAGTCTGGATCAGCAGTTCTACCCCCGACTGTACACAGCCTTGGCAAAGCCCTGTCTCCTCTTCCTGAGGCGTTGAACAGTTTGCCCTAATTTCCTCGAGGCCATTTGAAAGTCCTTCTCGATGGCCTCCCCGAATTCCTCCCACACCCGAGTTTTAGCTTCTGCAGCTGCCACGGCTGCAGCCCTTTTGGCCAGCCGGTACCTGCCTGCTGCTTCCGGAGCCAACCAGGCCCAGAGAGTCTAATTCTTCAGCCTGACAGCATCCCTCACCACCAGTGTCCACCAACAGGTTTTGGGGTTGCCGCCACGGCAGACACCAGTGTACTTCTGACCACAGCTCCTAACGGTTGCTTCTGCAATAGAGGCTTTGAACATGGCCCGCTCTGACTCTATGTCCCCAACCTTCCCCGGGATGCAGGAGAAACTCTTCCAGAGGTGGGAGTTGAAAACCCCCCGGACAGGGGCCTCCACCAGACATTACGAGTTCACCCTCACTACCTGTTTGGGTTTACCAGGTCTGTCTGGCAGCCTTCCCTACCATCAGATCCGACTCACCACCAGGTGGAGATCAGTTGACAGCTCTGCTCCTCTCTTAACCCAAGTGTCTGAGACATACGGCCGCAGGTCTGATGACACAACTACGAAGTCGATCATCGACCTTTGGCCTTAGGTGCTCTGGTATCAGGTATACTTATGAGCAACCTAATGTTCGAACATGGTGTTTGTTATGGCCAGTCTATGACTAGCACAGAAGTCCAACAACAAAAATCCACTCAGGTTCAGATCGGGCAGGCCATTCCTCCCAATCACTCCTCTCCAGGTTTCTCCGTCATTGCCCACATGAGTATTGAAGTCCCCCAGGAGAACTATGGAATCCCCAGGAGGCCCCCCTTCCAGGACACCGCCCAGAGACACCAAGAAGGCTGGATACTCTGAACTGCTGTTTGGTGCATAAGCACAAACAACAGTAAGAGTTTTCCCCTCCGCAACACGTAGTTGCAGAGAGGCGACCCTCTTGTTCTCCGGGGAGAACTCCAACAGAGCGGCGCTCAGCTGGGGGCTTGTGAGTATCCCCACACCTGCCCGGTACCTCACACCCTGGGCATCTCCAGAAAAGAGGACAATCCAACCCATCTCCAGGAATTTGGTTCTGGAACCCTTGCTGTGCGTGGAGGTGAGCCTGACTATATCTAGCCGGTATCGCTCCACCTCCAGCACCACCTCAGGTTCCTTTCCTGCCAGTGAGGTGACATTCCACGTCCCTACCACTAGTCTATGCCACTAGGGGGCGGTGCACCCTGACGCCCACCCCTGCTTTCTGTTCAGTTGTGCCCGACCAAACCCCACGGAGCTACTTAACAACTGCTGTCAAGTTACTTCTTATATCCAGATTATTCCTCAAGTTAGAAGAGAATAGAATATACTTTAAGTTGTTTTACCTCTTTGGTGATTTTCCCTTTTCATTGTGTTGTTGTGGATTGAACATTGTTTTGTTGTTATTATTTACTGGTTATTCTGTGTGTGTTGCATTGTGTGCGTGTGAATCACTTCTCATATGAAATGAACTTTGTTATAAACTTTTCTTTTACGTTCTGTATGAATAAAGACGAATCTGAACTTTGGTTATGTGTCAGATTTTATTTTAATATTATATGATAATATATATTTAAAACATTGCAACACATGATGAACACATCTTATCAACTAGCCAGAACATAAAAAGCAGAGAAAAGAGATACAAGATAAACAACACTTGTATGTCAAGAAGACTTTGGAGCTCTGTACGCTGTATCTCTGGAGGCTGAAGCAGCTGTTCTCACTCTATGGAAAGAAAAAATAGAAATAAATTACCTGCCTTCTTTTACATGTAAATGCTCATTTGAGAATTCACACAACATGTGATTGTACCTACAATGGCATTAATGTTTATTCAAACTCTTCATTCAGCATTTGAGCAGAACTTGCGCCACCAAGTGGCTAAACTGGGTTTTATCTATTCAGTCTCCTTTGCAGCTGCTCATCTTCTAGTTTCAGTCTCCTGCATCATTCAGTAGAATACAACATGCATCCATTCAGAGAAATCACACAACCACAGCCCTGCTCCTTCTCCACTCTGTATTTCATCCTTCTTCTTCAGCCGCCCTGCAGGAAGAGAAGCAGCTGTTATTAAGCCTTTAACTGGAGCGATGTGTGGTGATGTTTAGAATCACTATCTAGATATATAGCTT